GTCCAGAGACACATCAGGACTATGTCATTGCCACTTACGTTTGACCTGGTCTAGCCTTTTCCAAATGAATAGCTTCAACTCTGTTGTAAAGAAAGTTTTATTTGTATTTTACTACTATTGGGTCAATTTTGATAATAACTAGTTACAAACAAAGCCTTACTATTTATTAGTGGGAAATGGTTTTAAGACCCTTCCTTCAAGTACTTACATTTAATTCTAAGAGCTCCTTATCCCTCTTTCCATTTGGATTCTTTCTGTTTGGAAAATGCTGTTGTAGTAATTTAAAATGGTCAGATACAACTGGATCCTGAGTGGGAAAATGAAGTTATTTTTGCATTGTTTCTTAATTGGGATGATCCAAAGCTGGCACTCGTCGGCACACACTTGTTTCAGGTAGCCGTTGCTATTGTTACTGCCCTCCTAAGCTCCTTGTTTTCAGCTGGGTCAAAGAAAACGTGATTAAAAGCTGGTCAGAGCTGGTCATCACAGAAATGAAAGTTTCTGTCTCTCTGAACTGGTTGCAGCAAAAACAGAGACTTGATGACACTGACGGGGTGGTGGACTCTGATTGGGATTGCAACTAGTCCTTTTTTCTTGGCATTGCAGGTTTGCCAAAAGAACTTTTTTGTATTAAATATTGATGTGTGGAAGTGAAGGAACTGTCGGCTGAGCCAGAAGTGGGTTAAATTGGTGGCAAAGGGATTGGCTGATGGCTGAGCCAGGAGTGTTTGAGACACTGTCATTTTTGCACATTTTGGATACTTTGGAGGCTGGCTTTGTACAAACTTACTCTCTGGTTTCCTCTATGTTGTAAATAATTAGACCATGATTTCATTATAAATAAATGTATAAATATTATGCTTGTCATTTCTTTTTCTTCTGCAGCTCATTCATACACTAATATCAATAAATTTTTAAGTTATTTATTTTATGTGCATTGTTTTGCCTGCAAGTATGTTTGTGTGGGGGTATTAGATCCTCTGGAGCTAGTTATAGATAATTGTAAGCTGCCATCTGGTTGCTGGGAATTGAACTCCGGATCCTCTGGAAGGGCAGCTAATGCTCTTAAACTTTGAGCCATCTCTCAACTCCTCAATAAACTTTATTCATAGCATAATGCAATTACGTCTCTACCCAACAAAAAGTTAACGTTCCAATATTTGCATATGCTCCTTGGGTTTATATCTCTGCAGAGTATATCCTTAAAGTCAAAATGAAAGATTAAAAGATTATTATGTGTCATGTTTTATTTTTCCTTCAATGATTCATTTTTATTACTTATTTTTCAGACAGGGTCTCACTTGCCTCTTCTGGCCAAGGATAGCCGCATCTTTGTGGTACATCTAAACTCACAAATACGTCTATATAGAAATAAACATCTTAAAACAAAAATTAATGAATACATTTTAAGGGCATGATGTATGTAGCTGTCAGAGGCCAGCTTTCAGGAATTAGTTCTGTCTTTCCACTATATTTCCAGTGATCAAACTTGGCTGTTTAGGCTTTCATGGCAAGTACTTACAGCTGTATCTGAGGTGCCCTGCTGGCCTTGTGTTTTGGAGGCTGGGTCTGTAACATAGGTCTCACTATGCAGCCTCACCCTTTTTTTCAGAGTGCTGGGATTAAAGATGGCCACACACTTGGCCTTCCACTAGGTTTTTGATGTATTGTGATACTGTGTAGCTCAGCATAATTACAGCTACTGCCCAGTCAAGACATTTGAATTTTTTTGGGTGGGGGTGGGGGGACAGGGTTTCTGTGTAGCCCTGGTCTGTCCTGGAACTTACGCTGTAGAACAAGCTGGCCTTGAACTCAAGAGATCCACTTGCTTCTCCTGAGTGCTGGGATTAAAAGTATTTTCCACCACCTTTAACTTGTTTTGTTTGTTTGTTTTATTTATCTATTTTATGTGCTTTGGTGTTTTGCATGCACGAATATCTGTGGGAAGGTGTCAGATCACTTGGAGATGGTTTATAGGCAGTTGTGAGCTGCTGTGTGGGTGCTGGGAATTGAACTGTCTCTAGGACAGACAGTGCCCTTTCTTAAATCACTGAGCCATCTCTCCAGCCCATTTTATTTTCTGTTTTGTGCTTTTGGCAATAGAATCCATGCTAGGTAAAGTTCTGCCACTGAGATACATCCCAGCCCCTCCCCATCTTTGGAGACTGGGTCTCATTGTTTAGCACTAGCTGCTCTGGAACTCCAGTGTGTAGACCAGATAGACCTTGAGATAGCCTTCTGCCTCTGTCTCTTCAGAGTTTTGGTTTTCTAGACATATGCCTCCATATCTTGGTAGCTAGCTCTTTTTTTCTTTAAGTTATTTTTTTTTTTTTTTTTTTTAGATTTATTTTTATTATGTATATAGAGACTGCAGGCCAGAAGAGGGCACCAGAACGCATTGCAGATGGCTGTGAGCCACCATGTGGTTGCTGGGAATTGAACTCAGGACCTCTGGAAGAGCAGTCACTGCTCTTAACCCCTAAGCCATCTCTCCAGCCCTCTTTAAGTTATTTTTAAGCCTGCACGTGGTGGTAAAAATCCCTGAGTTCAAGTCTAGTCTGGTCTACCTACATAATTCCAAGACAGCCAGAGCTATGTAGAGAAACCCTATCTTAAACAAACTTTTTTGTTTTGTTTGGTTTTTGGTTTTTTTTTTTGTTTGTTTGTTTGTTTGTTTTTGTTTTTTGAGACAGGATTTCTCTGTGTAGCTTTGGAAGCTGTCCTGGAACTCACAGAGATCCTCCTGCCTCTGCCTGCCTAGTGCTGGGACTAAAGGCATGTACCACTGATGCTGGGCTGAGACAGTATTTCTGTTACTATTCTATTGCTGTGAAGAGACACCATGACCAAGGCAAGTCTTTTTTAAGGCATTCAACTGGTGCTTGCTTCCAGTGTTAGTCCCTGATCATCATGGCTGGAAGCAGACAGTCATGGTCCTGGAGCAGTAGCTGAAAGTTACTCATCCTTCCCAAATGATCCCACTAACAGGGGACCAAGCATTCAAACATGAGCCTAGGGGGGGCATTCTCATTTAAACTACCAGCACAGGGTCTCAACGAATTTCTGAGACTGACCATGAACCTTCCTCTGGTTTTCTAGTTGCTTGGAGGATAGCTGTTTGATATCACATCCAGTTCTTGAAAAGTTGCAGCAGAGTGTGAGGGTGCATATTCCATAACTGAGATGCTGGAGGCTGGGGGATTTTGAATTTGAGGCCAACATGTGTTGTAATTTTTAAAAAGCAGCTTTTTAAAAAAATTGCTTTAAAAGTTGCTTTTAAAAAGCAACAATTCAAGTGGAGGGTTTTTTGTTTTTAATTAGGGGGAAAGGATCTGAATAAGGGGAGGGGGGAGACTGGCCTCTGGGGGCAGGAGCAGAGGGAAAGAGGATAAAGGAATAGAGAGGGAGAGAGAGAAAGAGGGTGATGGGCAGGGCCCTTTTAAAAGGGAACGTGGTAAATAGGCACAGGTGATTCTCTTAGTGGCAGCAACTGAGGTGTATACTGTCAGAACTCCAGAGGCAGGCCATTACAGATGCCTAAATACTACTAATGGCCTGGGATACATGAGACTGAGTGAGATTCCCCAAAACAAGATATAGTAGTTGCACTTGGAGCAGGATTGCTGCTATGGTTTTGAGGTCTGCCTGGGCTGTAAAGTAGGACCCTTCCTTAATGGCCCCTTCTGCTCCCTCCTGATTGCCCCTGGTATACCAAGAAACTGGTGAGGAACTGGAGGCTGGCTTAATCAGCACACCTACACCCTGTTTCAGCAGAAAAGGGAAGTGGAGATCGCAAACAATGCAGGAAAAGTTTCACTATATGTGATGTGCAGAGTGAATGAAAATAATGCCCATTTATTGCTGGTTTTTTATTTATGAGGCTGGTTCTCACTATGTAGCCTTTACTGACCTAGAACTCTTAATTAAGAGACTTGCTATTATTCATTTTCATTTTTCGAGGCAGGGTTTCTCTGTGTAGCACTCTGGGTTTTGGAGTTCAATTTGTAACCCAGATTGACCTTGAACTCAGAGATTCACCTGCTTCTGCCTACTGAGTGCTGGGATTAAGAGTGTAATCCACCACATCTGATTGACCTGCTTTTTTTTTTTTAATGTGTATATTTTGCCTGCATGTGCACCGCCTGGTGCCTTCAAGAGGACAGAAGAGGTTGATGGATCTCTGAAACATGTTATGGATGGTTGTGAGCCATCCTGTGAGTGCTAGAAACTGAGTCCAGATCCTATATAAAAGCAACGAGTGCTTTAACTACTGATAATCTCTCCAAAGATGTTTTTAAACAGCCCAGGTAATGTGGAACTTAGTATGTATCCAAGAATGACCTTTGAACTGCTTGCTGCCAACAACTCTCATTCTGGATTTATAGACATGTGCCATCATATCTGGCTGTATCTGTCTTAAACATTTTTCAAACACAGAACTCCCAACTATTTTAACTGGGTGCTAAGAACATCTGGTCTTGGTTCCAGGAGCCTTAGATGTGACAGCGTTTTTTGGGGGGGACCAAAAAAAAAAAAAAAAAAAAGCACCGCTAGTAGCAATTACTTATACTTACTCTAAATGAAATCCTGTATTTTGGTAAGATTGAGGGGATGTGTGTTTCGATGTATACCTGGTAACAGATTTTTTTTCCCCCATTAGTAGCAAATAGCCCTAAGTTATTCACTTTAAAGATTTCAGTTTCGGTTAGTGGAACACCCATTTATGTACGTGGAAGCCTAGAGAACAGTACGTGACCAGAGGGCTTTGCGAGTCAGAACTAGGCGTGGGGCGGAGCAAAATGTCTGTCGCCTGTGGGGGCGGGGCTCCAAGGTCCCGCCCCTACCACCGGCGCCATCTTCCTGGACCCGGGCGGGGCACTGGGCTGTGCGAAGCCGCTCGGGAAGGAACGCCGGCTGTAACCTGGATTTGACTGCTTCAGAGGTACAGGCACAGGTGGGCAGGGACCGGGAAGGGGGGACGGCGGGGTGCAAGTGGAGGTGGCAGCCGGGAGAAGACCTGGAGGTGCCAAGCAGCCCACAGCATTCATCCGGCTCCTTTCTAGTGGAACGCTGCCTCAATCTGAAGAGAAATCCAAGTTCTCTTTATTTTTCTGGAGAAAGTAAGTTTGGAAATCTATGATGTGTTTTAGGACTGAGACTAACGGGAGAGGGAGAAGATGTGGGTTTCTTGGTGTTCCGCAATGAGTAGGGTAGGCCGCAGTGTTTGGGGAGGCGCGGACTCTTAGTCTGTGGCCCACGTCTCCATCCTGGATTGAATGTTTTGTGCCTTCTCTAGGAGGCCTTTCCCAGGGGCCCAGGACCACTCAAGAGGACGATGGATTCTGGAGCTCGCCCAGTTGGTAGCAGCTGTAGCAGCCCTGCAGCGCTATCACGAGAATACAAACTAGTGATGCTGGGTGCTGGTGGCGTTGGGAAGAGTGGTAGGTAACATTTTCCATTTGACAGAAAAGTTGGAAAAGCACCTAAGAGACCAATACCCAGACCAGATGGGTTACTGGCTCTTGTGCAAAGTTGCAAGATAAAATAGTTACTGGTCACTGTCATGAGTTCTATTTCTTGTTTTGAAGCCATGACAATGCAGTTCATCAGTCACCGATTCCCAGAAGATCATGACCCCACCATTGGTAAGTCAGATCCTCACTTATATTTCCAGGTACATCCTGTGAAAGTGTCTTAATAGATTTAAAGTTTAAAAAAACAGTATGTATCTTGAAATTTTTTTTGTATATGTAATTCATACTTCTTCGTATGTACATATGCGATCTCTTTGGCCTTTGGGTTAAGTTGAGCATTAATTGACAAATGGCCTTTTTTTTTTTATGGACATATTCTATGTTGTTATATTAAAGGAAAGCTTAAAGACTATTCGACGAAACCTTTCGTCTGACATGAGACTAACCCTATTAGTATGAGTCAGCTGGTTTGAACTTCCACAAAAGGAAGCAGAAAAACAAGTAGAGCCAGCCTGCTGAACTCTTAGAACCGAACTTCCACTCAAAGCTCTTCATTTATTTCCTTATCCCTGCAGCTCATTCTATAGCAACATCTCCAGTGCTCCGTAATCTTTGGCTGTCAGATGTTGGTAGAGTGCCAATAGAGTAAATCACTCTTTCTTTCCTTTTTTCTCTTTTTCGTTTTACACTGGGGATTGACCTGAGATTTCAAGCCAAGCGAGCCAGGCAAGGCTTTACCAAGCTGAATCCCTAGATTTGTTTTTTCTTTTGCCTTAGTCTGGGGCTGCAAGCATGAGCTACCAGTTCTATAGTGTATGGGCTGTATTGTTGTTGTTGATGTTGTTAGTTGCTATCTTCTGTTGACTAAAAAAGTTCCTCACTCCCAAATCATAAGGAAGCAGTTTTTGGTCTTGGCTTTTTGTTTTCACTTTTCTGAAATGGAGTTTCTCTGTCTTGGTTGTCCTGGAACTAGCTCTGTAGACCAGGCTGACCTTGAACTCAGAGATTAGCCTAGCTCTGCTGAAATTAAAAGTGTGTGCCACCACCCAGCAGCAGTTTTGATCCTGAATGATTATATAAAAGGAAAGTAGGGGTGAGGAGGGAACAAAAACTCTCCATTAGCTGGGAGTGATGGCACACATCTGTAATCCCAGCACTTGAGAAGCAGAAGCAAGAGGAATGTGAATTTATTACCAGTCTGGGTTACATAAAGAGTTATAGGCTGGCCAAGAATACTACTGAGATCCTCTGTCAAAATAAAAACAAGACTGCCATTCTGTGGCTGTGGTCATTTTATTTATCTTATGCTTTTGTAGGTTTGGGGGAAATGGGAACACGTCTTTTTCGTGAGCTGTTTGGGAGTTATTTTTTTTTTCTGTGCTAGGGATCAACCCTAGAGCTTCACACAGGCTAAGTACGTGCTGTGCCACTGAGTTCCATCTGAGCTCTGCTATATCAGCTTGAGAACATTGTTTCAGAGATTCAAGCTGTGGTGTGGGAACTCTGAATAAAGTCAGTTCAGTGGTTAGGATCATTTACTTAGTTCCAAGCAGTAGCTCTAGGCCACCCATTGGTGGCCCCCAGTGCAGAGCCCAAATTCAGAGTTGTCTCAGCTCTAGTAATGCTTCAGTAGAAGGACATTGCTTGTGCTAGGTTGCCGGGTGGGGTCAGTGTCTGCCCTCTGCCCTGCAAGAGGAGTGTTTGCCACCCCTGCCCTCCTGCACTGCAGGTTCCCCAGTGTGGGAAGACTGGTTGACAGTCTACCACACCCACCTAGTTATTGTGCCCTTGTTTATAGTGAGAACTAGCCACACCTAGAGATTGGCTGGGAAATATCACATGGTCACCTAAGTTGGGCTGGGACCAGATTCTGAACTGGGCTTCAAGGGTGTAGTGGCCGTGTCCTAACTTCACTCCTTGGCAGGAGTAAAAATGTTCCTACACCTTCTTTATTCTATTCTCCTATACAGGTTTTTAGAGCTATCAAAATAGGCAGAATTTTCTTTGGTCATAACCATGGTGCTGTCTGTTTTCTTGTGCTGTGTTAACAATCCTGACCAATTGCTCAGAGCTCATCTCCTTTTGTTCACAGGTACCACTGACAGTCTTTTATTTTAACATGGTGCAGTATAGTGAAATTCACCATCTGGCATATGGTTTGAGATGTGAGCTGCACAAACTAGTAACAAACGGGGTTGGATCCATGGATTTGCTACTGAAGAGGGCCATGTGACTCTGGGACTTAATGTAGTGGAAGAGAGTTAGGGCTGTGAGGCTGAGGAGCATGTACCTTCTGATAACTCTTGAAGAAAAAGGGAATCTGACACCCCAGGTCTCCTTCATTGAAAACAAAAATGTACTTCTACCACCGCCTTAGCATCAGTGGGAAGGTACTTGCCCCCGAAGCCTGGTGACCTGAATTTCTGCACAACCCATGTAAAGGTGGAGAGACCTGACTCCACAAAGACAAAGACAGTCTTTTAGATCTCTACACATACACACACAGAGTCATGTACATACAGAATAATATAAGTCATCTTTAAATAAGATAAAAACCAAAAGAATTCCAGAAGCAATTCCTTATTTCTGTTTGTATTTAATTTTTGTGACATGGGATACTCTTTTTATTTGTTGTGCTTTAGGATCGAATCCAGAACCTTGAGCATACTAGACAAGCATATCACTATCATGCTGCATCCCCAGCTCTCTTGTTTTTAATGTAAATCTCATACTTTTTCTCCTCCAAGAAGTATTGTGGGTTGAATTCAAGGCTTTATATATATTCTGAAAATACTCTACTGCAGATCTGTACCCACTGCCTTATGAACGGCTTTTTAAAATAAATTTATTTTTATTTTATGATTATGGGTGTTTGCCTGTATGTATGTCTGTGCATCACAGTGTGCCTGGTGCCAGCAGAACTGCATTGGATCCCATGGAATGGAATAAATAGAAAGTTGTGAGTTCTTATGTGGGTGCTGTGAGCTAAACCCAGGTCATCTGCAGGAGCCATAAGTCAGTACATTTTTTACCCTATTCTGCTGCACTCTGTCAGTATTGTATGATCCAGCACCTGTGCCTTGAGCACTGTGAGTATATGTGTATACTTATATATAAGCACACACATATATATGACTGAAGTTAAAATCTGATGGTGGGGACAGTAAAGGCACCAGTAACCAAATGTGACCTGAGTTTGATCCCAGTAACTCACATGGTTCCTGTAAGTCCTCTCACCTGCCTCGCCGTGCTGTTTCATGGGATGGTGAGTTTGCTGAGCAGGTGCTTACTGCCAAGCCTGATAACTTAAGTTCCATGTTTGAGCATCACATGGTGGAAAGAGAGAACCAACTCTTGAAAGTTGTCCTCTGAACTCCACATGTACTATGCGGCATGTGTGTGCCCATATATACACAGAACCAATTAAATAATGTAATTTCAAAATGTTACGAGGAAATATCTGGGAATGTATGTGGCTGTTTTGTTGTTGATGTTGGTTTTGCTTTGTTTTTGAGACAGGGTTTCTCTGTGTAGCCCTGGCTGTCCTGGACCTCACTCTGTAGACCAGGCTGTCTTCTTTCTCCCAGATATTGGGATCAAAGCTCTGTACCACTATGTGTGGCAGTTGATTCCAAGTAATGAAAATATTGAATGAGCTTTTTTTCTCTTTCCCTTTTCTGTATATTCCAAGATTAGTATAGAAATCTACATAAAAGAAGGTAAGTGTGATGGTGTGCATTTGTAGTTCCAGTGTGTGAAAGTCTGAGGCAGTAGTATCTTTTGGAACAGGAGTTTAAGGTCAGCTGGACAAGATGGAGACCTCATTTCTTTATGTTTTGGTAGTGGGCACTATTTAGGGTAGGAGGTGAGTCAGGATCTCATGTAGGTCAGGCTGGCTTTGATTCACTATGTACTTGAGGATGACTTTGAACTCTTGATTCTGCGCCTTCACTTTCTAAGTCCTAGGATCATAGGCATATACAACTCTACCTAACTTCCAACTCTGGTGTGGAACATGCCTGAAATCTTACCTGCTGAGGAAGTACAAGGACTAGATTGCACAGTTTATTTAAGGTCCTGTCTCAAAAATAAAATTTATCTGGGCTGGTGGCTGCAGGCCTAGAATGTTTCCTGGGCTGCTGAGGCAGGAGGGTCTACCTGTTCTACAGACTGAGTTTAAGACTAGCCTAATCAACTTAATGAGATCTCTCAAAACTAAAAAGAGCTGCCATAATGGTTCATACCACATGTAATCTCAGCACTAGGAGGCTAAGGCAAGAGGATTACCACAAGTTAAAGACTAGACAAAGAGCTGTGTAGTGAGATCCATACTCCTTACAGAGCTGCCTATGTCTCTCAATGGTAGAGCACTTGTCTGTCAGAGGCCTTAGGCTCTTCCCTCAGTGCTTTAAAACAGAAACAGTATTAGAAGGCAGAGGCAGGCAGACTTCTCTGAAGTCCAGGCCAGCCTGGGCTATGTATCAAGGTGGCCAGCCAGGGCTGTATAATGAGACCTTATCTCAAAAACAAACAAATAATAAAAAGAAGTAATAAAATAAAATTAAAATTTATTTAAAGGGCTAAGGATAGCTCACGCTTGTATTGAATGCTGCTGACCTTAAGTTTAATCCCCAGTATTACAACACTAATATGCAGAAAAGATCTTGGTTTTGTAATTAAGGGATTGTGACATAGTTGTGAAGGATGCTTTACTGAATATAGTACACTGGCTGTTCTTGCAGGGTCCCAGATTTGATTTCCAACATCAATATAGCAGCTTATAACTATAACTCCAGTTTCAGGGGATCTGATGCCATCTTCTGACTTCTGTGGACATCAGACACACACATAGTACACTTCCAGTCAAAACACTCATATGCATAAAATAAAAATAAGTCTTTAAGCAAAAAAATATCCAAGAATAGGGATTCCAACCTTTAAAACCCGCACTCTGGGCGGAGGTATAAAATGCTGTGTACATTGGGCCAAATTTGAGTCCCTAGCACTGGGGTTTAATCTAGCTCATCACCAATTAACTGCAGTTTTAAAAAGACATTCAGTATTTTAGGATTATCCTTTTTATGTTTTTTAAGTTATTTTTTTCTAAGACAATCTTACCTGTTCTAGTTGGCCTCAAACTCACAGAGATTTGCCTACTCTGCACCTTGCCTGACCTGCCAGTGGTGGGATTAAGCATGTGTGCTACTATACCTGGTTTCCCTTCTTTTGCTGTAAAATGAGAAGAATAATCCTTCCTGTGTTGATTATTATGACTATTAAGCGATTCAGTGTATACAATTTACTTAGCCTAGTGTCTTGAATGTACTTTAATAAGTGATAGTTGGGACTAAAAGCACACACCACTATGCCTGGCAGTTAAAGTATTTCTTTAATGTGTGTGTGAGATATGTTCACAGACACATATGCCATAGCACATGTGTGAAACCTGGGTTAGAACCCTAGAACCCACATAAAAATAGGAAAGGACAAAACCCACAAAATTTCCCATTGACTTTCACACGTGCCGTGTGTGGCGTATATGTCCACGTACATACCGTGTACACACTAAAGAAATATTTTTACCCAATTAAATGTGTTATTTCATAAGACCTTTGGTTGTGCTATCTCTTCACAGCAACAGTGCAGTGACTAAGGCAAACCTTTTCTTTCTTTTGCTTTCATTTCTTTTTTTAATATTTATTTAATATGTATGAGTGTTTTGCCTGCATGTATGTCTGTATACCATGCATGTACCTGGTGCCTACATTGGTTCCCTACAGAGGAGGACATTGGTTCCTCTGGAACTGAAGTTACAGATAGTTGTAAGCAACCATCTAGGGGCTAGGAATTGAGCCCAGGTCTCCTGCAGGAGCAGCCAGTGCTGTTAACTTTAGAGCCATCTCTCCAGCCCCTCATTGCTTTCTGAATTTTGTTTTGTTTTTTTACAGTCCAGGTTCTTTATTTCTTTTTGTACATTGGGCCATGAATTCATATGGGAAGGGCTCTAGCGGCTCAGGCTCCCTCCCGTTTGTCCTCACAAAGTGTGCTTCTCTGGGTGGCGCAGGCTGGCGCTTGAGCTGAACCCAGGTGCCCTTCTCCTTGGCTTCCTTTTTCTTCTGGTCGTTCTCCTTCACCTGCTTCAGGAAGCTGTCCCTGCTCTTAGAGTGCTTGATGTGCTCAATCTGCCCATTGAGAATCTTACCCTTAACTTGCTTGTTTACAATGATGCCCACGGCATGCTGGGTGACATTTTGACTCTTCCTGTCTTGCCATGGTAACACTTGTGCGGCATTCCTTTTTGAACAGTGCCCATTCCCTTGATGTCTACAATGTCACCCTCCTTGTAGATTCGCATGTACGTGGCCAAAGGAGCAACCCCATGCTTCCTGAAGGCCTAGGGAACATGTAGGAGTGCCCCTCCTCTTCCCCTTGGTGTTTGTCATTTTGGCGAGTTACTGCGAGATGGCTGCCTCGGCCCTTGTTTTTGTTTTTTAAAGACAGCATCTCCCTATGTAGCCCCAGATAACCTAGAACTCATTATGTAGACAAAGTCAGCTTTGAACTCAAGGAGATCCTACTGCCTCTGCTTCTCAAATGCTCAGAATTAACTTTTAGGTTTTGATTTATACCTGTGAATAAGATAGCTGACCATGCCAGGTAGTGGTGGTTCATGGTTTTAATCCCAGCACTTGGGAGGCAGAGTTGAACAGGTCTCTGTGAGTTCAAGGCCAGTCTGGTTTATAGTGCTAATTCTAGGATAGTGAAAGCTACACAAAGAAATTCTATCTTAATAAACAAAACAAAAAGATGTATGAGCACTCATGAACCAAAAAAATAAAGGAAAAAAAGTAATATTATTGGATACCCTAGTCTATATATTTTGATGAATTTATAGCATTCTTAGAAAATTGAGCACATAGAAACAACTTAGGGAACTAATGAGATGGCTCAGCAGGTAAAAGCACTTGCTCTACTAGCTACCTGATTTCCATTCCTAGAATGCATATAAAAGGTACAAGCAAAAGCTGACTTCATGAAGTTGACTCTTGACCTCCATATGTGCATGCATGCACAGTGCACACATATACACATCACTAATAGTAACATTTTCGAAAGAACTTAGTGAGCTGGGGAGATGGCTCAGAGGTTAGAGTACTTGCTGCGTAAGCTAGAAGCAGAGTTCATTTCAGATCCCCAGAACCCAGGTAACTGGCTTACATGTAATTCCAGCCTCCAGAGTCAAAGATAGAGTCTTCAAGGAGCAAGCTGCTTAGTGAGACCCAATCCTAACTCTGGGTCCCCACACATGTGTGCACCCCACACAAACAAGCATTCATACATATTTATATGTGCATTCTACACACACACACACACACACACACACACACACACACACGAAAACAAATGTAAAAAGAAATTAGATGAAACTTGGGAATATAGCTTTATGGTAGAACACTCACCCAATATTTGAACCCCTAAATTCGAGGTCTGGCTCTACCAAAATAAATCAGCATATAGATAAAATTGGATGGGACCACCTCTTTTAGAGGTCAAGTTTTCAATTCTTCTTCCCACATGTGTGTTCTTCCCTTCTGTAGAAGATGCTTATAAGATCCGGATCCGCATTGATGATGAGCCTGCCAATCTGGACATTCTGGATACAGCTGGACAGGTACTAGATCCCAGAACTGTGTGAGTAAAGAGTGTGTCCTCTAGGAAGGGAGCAGGCTTCTGCGGACAGTATCACTAGTTTGTCTTTCTTAATTTTCCACGCTCTGCCTCAGGATAGCAGGTAATTGACATGCTGTTTCTTTGTAAAGTAGCCAGTGTGTGCATAGCTCTAAGTGCAGCAGTGTGTTATAGACCCTTCATTTCCCTCTAGGCAGAGTTCACAGCCATGCGGGATCAGTATATGAGGGCAGGAGAAGGATTTATTATCTGTTACTCGATCACGGATCGTCGAAGTTTCCATGAAGTTCGAGAGTTTAAACAACTTATTTACCGCGTGCGACGCACTGATGACACACCAGTGGTTCTTGTGGGAAACAAGTCTGACTTGAAGCAGCTGAGACAGGTAAGAAGAAAGACCTGTAAGATTGTGGGTAGTCATTTGTTTCTTGAAGACTGCTTTCTCTCAAAGTAGAAAATGAAAATTAGCCTCTCTCTAACTTTGGAAATGTCACTCTAGCTATTAATTTCCTGTTATTATAATCTGGATCTTTTAGGAATTAATGCACAGGATTTTAGACACATAATAAGCTACCTGTGTCATTTACCTGTGACCTAAGCATTTAATAGGCTAGGCAGGAGGCCAGCCTAGGCTATATAGACCCAGGCTCAGTCAGTCAACTAACAAACATATGGCAATAGAATACTCATTAAGCAAAGAATCATGAGCTGTTAATTTCCTAAATCTCCAAAATGATGTTTGGATGTGGTTAGTGGTAGTGCCTAACATACAAGGGACCTGGGTTCAATCTCCAGTACCAGAAAATAAAAAATCTAAAAATCAATAAAAGCTAAGACCAACAAGAAAGAGGTCTCAGGTAGTAAAGGTGCTCGCCTGCCCAGTGGCCTAAATTCAATCCCTAAAATGCACATAAAGGTCAAAAAAAGAGAACCAATTCCACAGAGTTGTCTGTTGATTTTCACACATGTGCTGGGGCATTCAGGCCTCACACACACATTGTACACACACACACAATAAATAAGTACTTTAAAAATAATGAAACTAGTTAAAACTTCAGGGTTGGAGAGTTAACTGAACAGTTAAGAAGAATACAGCTGTTGTTGCAGAGAATTCATGTTCCATTCCCAGCACCCACATGGTTTTCCCAGTTCCAGGGATCTGATGCCTCTGGCCTCCAAGGGCACCTGGCATGTACATGGAACACAGACATACATGTAGGCAAACACCCATACACATAAAATAATCCAAAATATAAATAAGGCCGGGTGGTGGTGGCAGTGCATGCCTTTAATACCAGCACTTGGGAGGCAGAATCAGGAGTTCTACACAGTGAGTTGCCAGACACAGAAAAAAACAAAAGCAAACAGACAAAAAAGCAAAAATATAAAGAAAACTCATTATCAATAGCTGCATTTACTTGTTATTTGTTCAAAAAAATTACTTTGTAAGGGCTGGGGACTCAGTTCAATCTGATATGCTTGTAAGGCCAGACCTTACAAGGCGTAAGTTCAGTTTGTGTTTTGTTGTTCTTTAGGTTTTTTTGAGACAGGGTTTCTATCCCTAACAGTGCATGGAGCCAGGCATAGTGGCACATAGCTATAATTCAAGTACTCCAGAGGTAGATAGACGACTTAGAAGTTCTAAGGATGCTTGACTGGCCTGGAATACAAGATGCTGTCTTTTTAGAAAAAAAAAAAAATCTGGAAAATGCTCTGGAGATAGAATCATGTAATTTGGAGTCATGTGCCCTCCTCGCCACTTTGTGGCAGAGGCTGCGTTCTCCGCTGGCACCTCTGCAGCGGGGAAGCTCTGTCCTTCCCAGGAAGCCGTTTTCTCTTGACAGTTGTCACTGCCGCCTGCTGTACACTGTCTATTCTCATGTTTGTGCCTTTGAAGGTCTCCAAGGAAGAGGGATTGTCTCTGGCACGAGAATTCAGCTGTCCCTTTTTTGAGACTTCTGCTGCATACCGTTACTACATTGATGATGTTTTCCATGCTCTTGTACGGGAGATACGTAAGAAAGAAAAGGAGCTAGTGTTGGCCATGGAGAAAAAGTCTAAACCCAAAAGCAGTGTGTGGAAGAGGCTGAAGTCACCATTCAGGAAGAAGAAGGACTCTGTAACTTGAGGGAAGTGTGAAGGGTCTGCTGTGAACTGTGGTGCTGCTCGAGGCGGTCCAGTAATCTGCAATGATGAGCATGCTGTTTGCTCTCTCTCCCGCTATTCTAAATGTCACTGGTGAGGGGGACATGTCCACTAGGAGTTTTCAATGATTCACTATTTAAAGCCCTGTCTTAGTTGCCTCTGATTTATTAATCCATCAGAGCACTGTCTACTCCTTAATTGTCACATTAGAATTTGGTCTGCCATTGTTTTGGTTATGTTGATGTAATTAATTTGTGTAAAGTGTTTATACCCAGGAGAATATGTATTCCGTGTGCACTTGACTAAGTTTACAAAGGAACTTTGTGCTGTGTACTCCCCACCACCCTTCAACTTGAGCTTCCTGGTACTGTCTCACAGAGGGTCTCTGCCTTGTTTTCCACACTGTACATCTTGGAGACAGAATGAAAATTGAATAGGGAAACTAATGCTAAAGGGATTGGTGCTAAAGGTGGGTAGGTGACTGTGGAATGGACTCCAGTTGTAGATTGTGGAGTGATGAGGTTTTGAGAGATACTGCTGTATGTCCACACAAGAAGACATGGCTGGAAACATACAGGGTCAGAGCACTGTTGCCTTGATGAGTCTGACAAATGCACATTTGACCCAAAGGCACTGAGGTGGTGAAAGGGACAGCAGTGGGGACAGAGTGGCGGTGTCTGTGCCGCCCTTCCCTCCCCTTTCAGTGGCTTGTCTTTCTACCTTTGAAGGCTGGCACTTGGAGAACTGCTTTTGGGTCTGGGACCATCACAAGATCACTTGATTCTTATTTAAATCCTTTGTTTGGGCTAGCCACGGTTGTTCACTGCTGTAATCCTAGTATCTTAAAGCTAAAGCAGGGGGACTGCTGGGAGGCTAGCCTGTGCCACAGAAGGAAAGCCTGTCTCAGAAAAACAAAACCAAAGCTAATTAAATAAATTCTTTCTTAGGACAGCTACACCACAAGCCTTGTCCAGGTTTCTTTCCCCTTTAAAGAACTGGGCCTGCCCAGATGGTTTTTAGGCCCTTCTTTAGACTGATGGTATTGTCCAAACGGAAGAGGCATCAAGAGTCTGGGTAAAATTGTTAGGGTTTGCCTTGACCTTATCAGTCATTAGACTCGGGGCTTGAAGGTCTGTGGTGTTTCTGTTTGATGAGCCATCTTGGAGCTTTAATATTCACGTATGTACAGTGGCTTCATCATCTGAAGATTTTCTCAGAATCGTCAAAGCTCAGCCTTGAGAATAACCACTTTGCCTCCCATATGTATATGGTTGAGCTACTACTAGTCTTGGAAGGAGCAGTTTTAACAGTTAGTGGTGAGCTCTCTGTCTGGGGGGTCAGGATTATTGTGCTGTCCAGGTGTGCTGTGTGGGGTCCATTCAGAAGAGTCATCATCCCTGTATGGAGTGTTCACTCTAGGCTCAGGTGACACCTCTTCATCTGCCACTGAGCTCCCTGCTTCCCACTGTCAAAAGAATGGCAGATGATCCAGATTGCATGAGGTGTCATTGCTAGGACTTCTAAAATTTTGGGTAGTTGTCATTTGAAAATCTTGGTAACTTTTGCTACAATTCAAAATGTGTTTTTAATATTCAAGGCATCAAAAAAATGAAAGACCCAAATCCAAGTCTATTCAAGTCATAGCATTTCAGAGAAACAACAGAATAAGAGATGAAATACAACACCAATTTCTTTTAACAGTATCTCACCTGGATAAGGACTTTCAGCTTCAGTACCTTCTCCACTTATTACTGATGATCTGTGGGATTGTCATCAGTGTCAAGCAAGGAACTGACAGCTACAACGATTCAAGATTGTCAAGGCAATAGGAAACACTGCCAGAAAGGAAGGCCTGCAAGACAGAGAGGTTATGTTCTGTACAAAGAAAGCAGCAGCGAGTGTTTTTAAGGCTGTCCCTGTCAGACATTGGATCCTGAACTGGTCCCTTGATTCCCATTGAGCATGTAATTATGGTGCTAGATAGCTGCAAGAGCACAGTGGTGTGAGCTCCTCACCTCCTCAGCTAACTCACAAGCTTTGGGTCATCAGTATTGTCCAGCCTGAAGGCATGAAAATCAAGTATTCTCTGGAACTTTGGAGAGAAGATTCAGGGGTAAGTTGAAAGGCAATGAAACTGTATTGAAACAAAGTTAGTAATTACAAGCCTCAGAAACTAGTGTCTAGAATTAGCTGTTTATGATCAGTAGGGAGACATGTTTTAACTTTGATATATTAGAAAAGTGTTGCATGTTACCTGGGACATTCTTCACTGGTGCACTTGTATATGAAGGCAGTTTATGCAGCACAATATAAGATTTTTAAACATGTGTTGGGTTTTTGTTTCTCTCTCTCTCTCTTTTTTTTTTTTTTTTTTTTTGCCTATAAGTGAGTAGAAATGTTTGGAATCTTTAAAAGAAAAAAGTACTTTTTTAAAAAAGCTTATTACTAACATGGTGAGTGCATTCCAATTTTTTTATAATTTATTTGTGTGTGTGAGCACATGTGACATGGTATATGTGTGAATGTCAGAGAACGCCTCATAGAAGTCGCTTTTCCCCTTTCATCCTTTTGTGGGTCCCAGAGATTAAATTCAGGTTTGCAGCAAGCACCTTTCCCACTGAACCATCTTGATGACCCCTTTCTGCTTTTTAAAGTGTCACCTTGGCAGGTAAGGATCTGAGTGCTTGAACTCTATCTCAGTGCTCAGCTACAGGGAGCCAGACCTTCTAGCTGGTGTGACAGGGTCTTCCACTGAGACGTGAGAGATGCCATCCAGGCAATAGCCAGGTTATAGGGTTATAGGGGTCTGTTTGCCACCCTTTGTTCTGAGCAGTCAGTTTTCTAGTGCTTGGAGAGGGTCTTCCAAATCTTTTTCAGCAGCTGGGGCAGCTAGAATCGTACAGGGCAGTTCGTCCTACAGACTCCGTTGGACACCTCTGAAAAACAACAGCATCATGGGAAGTTACTAACAAGCTCACATTAATGGAGGATGATAAGCTACTTTTTACCCCCAAGATCCTGAGCTGGAACAGCTAGTTCAGGCCACCATTGACAAATCCTATGAGGCCCTCACGAGGGCCCTTCCAGGCCAGAGAATTCAGATCCTATTTACTTGTTCCTTACTTGCTCTAACCAAGAACCTGGCTCCAGCCAAAACATCTTCCACCTTTCCCCTATAACAGTGCCACAGTCTGGTGAGATGGTTCAGTGGGTAAGAACGGGTGAAGGTAAGCCAAGCCCTCTAACCTGAGTGTGATTCCATGGTTCACCAGGAAGTTGTCCTCCTGTGTCATGTGCCCCTCTTCCACAAAGTAAAAAAAATAATGTCAAAACAACAAAACCACCAGCCATTTTGGTCTGGGAAGATTCTCAGTAGGCCAAGACCCTTGCCAGCAGGCCTGAGGGTGAAAGTTTTATCCCTGGGACCACACGATTGAAAGAACCTATTACCACAAGTTGTCCTCTGACTTCCACATGTGCACTATGTCCGTGATGCGCACACACATGCAAATTTAAAATTTTAATTTAAAAAATTAAAGTATCTTAGGGAGAAATTCAATGATAGGGCTCAGGTGTAGCTCAGTGGTAGAGGGAGTTACCTAGCACATACCTGTTCAACCAGCATGTCTTCCCTCCTCCCAAAAAACATCACATTTCATGTTCCCAAAAATATTGATTCAAAAAACTGAAAATCCCTACCAGGTACAGAACATTCAAGTGCTAACAAGTCTCCAGAGATGGACCCCCTTTATTCAAATGATTACATCTCTAAGGAGAAAGGGAAAATGGGTACACACAACCTGTAATCCTAGCATTCCAGAGGCTGAGACAGAAAGATTGTAGATTCAGGGTCAGCCTAAGGAGCATAATGACACCCTGTGTTAAAAAAGGAAACCGTGAGCTGTAGTAGTGCACATCTTTAATCCTAGTACTCTGGAGGCAGAGGTAGTGGATCTCTGAGTTGGAGGCAGGCCTGGTCTACATAGTGAGACCTGGTCTCAAACAAAAGAAAAAAGTTAAGGATGGAGAAAGCCAGGTGTGATAATGCACAGGTGCCATCCCAGCATTTGGGAGGTAGAGGCAGGAGGATCAGAAGTTCAAGGTGTCTACCCTACATAGAGTTCCAGAAAGACAGCATTCAAATTGAATTTTTATTTAAGTTTGGTAAATACCCTACTCACAATTTGTACTGTTAAAACTTTTTCAATCTCAGCCAGGTGATGGTGGTGCACACCTTTAATCCCAGCACTTGGGAGGCAGAAGCAGGCAGATCGATGTGAGTTTGAAGCCAGACTGGTCTATAAAGAGAGTTCCAGGACAGCTAGGGCTGTTCTGATACACAGAGAAACCCTACCTTGAAAAACAAAAAATACAAAAACCTTTCCCAATTTCAATCTTTTTAAGTTTTATTTTTATTGTATGTGTATATTTGTGTGCTTGTTAGTTTATGTGCACCACACTTATGCCTGGTGTCTAAGGAGGCCAAAGGGCATCAGCTTCTTGGAACTGGGAGTGCAGGCAATTATGAGTCACCTTGGTGTAGATGCTGGGAACTGAACCTGGGTCCTCTGGAAGAGCAGGGCAGTAAACACTCTTCACCAGTGAACTATCTGTCTCTCTAGCCCCTCCAATCTCAATCTTACAAAGAATGACACATGTGCTGGAGAGATGGCTCAGTGGTGAGGAGTACTTACCACTGTTCCAGAGGACCTGAGTTAGTTCCCAGCATCCAAATCAGACAGTATACAACTACCTGTCACACCAGCTCCAACAATGCCTCAGGCCCGTGGGCACTGCTGTGCTGGACCTCGAGCCCTAGTCCTGCACTTGAAGGCATATGCCCTACATGCAGACACACCCCACACACGAAATTAAAATTAGTAAAATCTTTAAAAAGAACGATACATGGGAATCTTACTTATTTTGGGACAGGGTCTTACCGTGGCCCTAGCTCAGCTGGTACTTGTGATGTTTCCCAGGTTGGCTTCTGACTCACAGCAGTCCCCTTGTCCTCACAGGTGGGCACCACTACTCCCAGCCATATGTGATTTTTAACTTTCAGGAGTCCTTGTCAACTTTTGCAATCACTGTGCTTTAAAAGGTTCAAGACTGACAACGTTGGATTTGTATTAATGTTAGAGATGCTCACCTTGAAGTTAGGAATTTCATCAGCTTAGCTGGAGCTAAAATTTAGGTGGCATAACCATAGGAGAATCATTCAAATGTTTGCTCTTTGAGGAAAGATTATTAATCCTGTCCTCCAGATCCCTGAATGCTCTCACTGTACAAACTAATTTTCTTTTCTCCCTACTAAGAATTATTAAATAGGGGGCTGGAGAGATGATTCAGAAGTTAAGAGCACTGGCTGCTTGCTCTTCCAGAGGACCTGAGTTCAATTCCCAGCACTGACATGGTGGCTCACAACCATCTGTAATGAGATCTGATGCCCTCTTCTGGCAGTCAGGCATACAGCCGGGCAGAACATTACATATATACTTAATAAATAAGCCTATAAAAAAAAAGAAAAAAGAGTTATGAAACAGGTGTCATTTGAATCAGCATCCCAAATTATCGAGCATGCCTGTATACTCAGCACTTCAAAGAACATTTCCACTGTGAAATGTGAGTGACGGCTGCTCCTCTTGGTGAACTGTCTGCCATGTGACTCCTTGGGGTCAGATGGTACCATCTATGTGAAGAAAACAATTGCTGCTAGAGCACTTCTCAGCAGAAGGGACATTTTCTTTCCCCTTGGGACAGCTGACTTGAGTTGACTTGCTTCTTGCTCTACTAGGAACATGGGGGTCAGGTTAAGGCCTGGAGGAGGAACTGGCAAAGCCTTTGTAGCTCTTAGCAACAGTGTAATGAATGACTTAAATCAGTCTCTCAAGCTTTACAGTCCTCTGTTTCCTTCACCTTCTTATCTGAAGCTGCTGATGAGTTGGGGAGGTGTGCTCAGTTGATAGAGCAGCTGCCTGCTGAGCCATTCTGAGCAAGGCAGTGAGTGCTGGTGACCTGCTGAGTGGGGTTAGGGACAGAAAATCAGAAGCTCAAGATCATTGGCTATTTAGTGATGTTGAGGCCGGCCTGAGCAGTATTAGACTGTCAATTAATTAAGGCATGGCAATACACAAGTCTGTAATCTGAATACCTAGAATCACAAGTTCAAGGCCAGCCTGGACAACTTAGTTAAAGAGTAGGGGCCTAGCTAAATAGAAAACACTTGCCTAGCATACACAGTACTGAAGCCCCAGCACTGCAAAATAAAGAAGTGAATAACAACTTAAGAATGATGGATGCCCTGACAGCTCAAGCAGGGAAGCAGGAGGGCTGGGAGCAAGCCAGGAAAAGTGTTTGTTGTAGTTTCCTTTTTTCAAGACAGGGTTTTTCTGTGTATGCTTGGCTGTCCTGGAACTATCTCTCTCTCTCTCTCTCTCTCTCTCTCTCTCTCTCTCCCTCCCTCCCTCCCTCCCTCCCTCCCTCCCTCCCTCCCTCCCTTCCAGGCTGGGCTTGAACTTTGCCTCTGTCTTCTGAGCAGTGGGTTTAAAGACATGTATGACTGCTACCACCACCACCACCCAGCAAAACAAACAAATCAAACCTTTTTTTTGGAACTAGCTTTATTCATTCATTCATTCGTTTGTTTGTTTGTATTTTATGTGCATTGGTGTTTTGCCTTAGGTTTCAGGTTCCCTGGAACTGGAAATACAGACAGTTAAACTGCTATGTGGTTGCTGGGAATTGAACTTGGGTTCATCTGGAAGAGAAGTCAGTGCTCTTAACCACTGAGCCATCTCTCAAACCCTGAAAAAAGAAATCTTAATATGAGGGAAACCGCCAAATAGAGTGAGACAGAAAGGTCTTAAATGTTTGGGACATTCTGAAATTGCTGATCAAGTTTTCAAGGAGCTGGCTTGGAGACAATTTCTGGGAGTTTAGTTTTGTCTAGAAATTGCTCTTTAAAAAGATCAGTGTGTGCATTCCTCCACACACATGATCGGATCATGAAGTCACCCAGTCTTCTGAACAAAAGCTGCTGGGGTGGGGACACAATTCATTTCCTGCCCTTACTGCTAGAGATCAGTACAGCACGCACTGAGCCAGAATCCGTTTAGTTAGCTCCCTCACACCTCCCACCAGATCTGTTCCCTCTGCCCTCGCTGGGGTGGTGTGTATAGAGGAGGGGACAGAGGCAAGGACACAGTAAGCAAGTGCTCCAGCCCAGTGTCCTCTTACCTGCATCTTTGCTGACTGGAAGACGTCACACCTACCTACTCCAGAGTGTCAAGGGCCTGGGAAGATAGCTCCGCGGGTAGCATATTTTCTG